AAGAAGAACTAGTCTTTCGTGTTCATCAGTCTCTATCTACCCTGGACCTTTTTTTTTTAAGTGGTTATTAACCATAACTGTGGCAGGTTTGCTGTACTCTTCTCAACAACCCTGAGATAAATAACAATCAGTTTACAGGTGAAAAGTGGAACAGTAAATCTCTTGTAGATCACACTGGCAATTGAGTAAGGCAGAAATATCATGAACTCAGTTTAATCGCTGGTTCCAAGTATTGCTTCTCAAAGAAAAGCTACCAATATGGGCTACCAACATATGATTTATTCCCAACAGGAGCTGAACCATGAATTAAAGTCCTGAAAGCCAATTGCAATCCATTTGTCACCACACCTCTAAGTAGTCTTATAAATATCCACAACCCATTGCACCTCAGCCACAGGAACTAGAGACAGGAGACAGGTATGTATGCTCTATAGACATAAGGATCATAGAATGGGATTCTACCAAAAATCTTTTGATTATCTTTGCCCAGAAATTAAGAGTTGACCATTATAATATTATGTACCCTAGGCATGAAAACAGCTATGGCAACAGCATCAAGCTAGGAGGAACTAAGGACTGCAGGTCTGCTCTGCCTGACTGATCGAAGCGCACCACTACCAATCAGATGTCCTTCCTCATGCTGCGACCCTTTCATACAGTTCCTCGTGTGGTGGTGACCCACCAACTGTAACATTATTTTCGCTGCTACTTCTTAACTGTAATTTTGGTACTGTTATGAATCAGGCAACCCTGTGAAAGTGTCATTGGACCCCCAAAGGGGTCACGACAGACCCACAGGTTGAGAACTGCTGGGCTAGCAGGTCCTCAATGGTTAGTGGACTTGTGGGGTGAGCCTATGTCATGAAGGTGAATCGATTCTGACTCACAGAAACCCTGTAGCAGAGGAGGACCACAAGATTCCCGGGTCAGGGCTGCATCCGCTCACCATACTGATTAACCTCAATGCTGAGCAAGCAGCCCGAGACGGGAAGAATGCTGCATCAGACCAGGTGACGACACATGAACAGCCTCTGACAGGCTGACAACACACTTTGATTGTTCAAAGGGAGGGCTTAAATCTTTTGCTAATGAAGGTAAAGACTCCAGCCTTCAATATGGATTACAACATAATGTAAAGAAAACCAAAATCCTCACCTAATATCATAAACGGAGAAAATACTGAAGTTGTCAAGGATTTCATCTTCCTTGGATCCACAATCAAAGCTCACAGAACCAGCCATCAGGAGATCGAATGACCCACCACACTGGGTAAATGTGCTGCACAAGGGCTTCGAGTACTGGACAGCAAGCATGTCACTTTGAGGAGTAAGGTGTGCCTGACTCAAGTCACACCTTTTTCTTTTTAATAATTTTTCTGGTGGTTCTTACACTTCTAATAAGATTCCATACATCAATTGTATCAATCACATTTGTGTGTTTATTACCAAAATAATTTTTTCATTTGTTTTCCTATATAACTTTTTTAAATAAATCATTTTATTGGGGCTCTTACAGCTCTTATAACAATCCATACATCAATTACATCAAGCACATTTGTACATATGTTGCCATCATCATTTTCAAGACATTTTCTTTTTACTTGAGCCCTTGGTATCAGCTCACTTCCCCCCTTCCCCACCC